ATTAATACATGTTTAATTAAACCTCTCTAAAACAGTATACTTTGCCAATTTCAGCCATAGTTAAATTTAGCCTTTGTTCAAGTATCAGTGATTTTTGAAAGCAAATTTCAGGATAGATTTCCTTTTGCTGATGAATCATAGCCAACAATAACTTAGTAAGTTGAGCAAAGCCAAATGTTTTCAAAAACAAATTATGAAAATTCTTTCAAGTTTTTATAGCAAGAATTATTTTTCATGTGGGTTGTGGGGACATATTAATATTTTGAGGTAGAAATCTCAAAAAAAGAAAACTGCCTGTAGCAACATAAAGTATCCGTGTTTGTGGGCGGCTGATTTCATGCACTTTAAGACATGTGTTTGTCAGCTTATATGAATTCCCACGTTATGTTTATCATTTAATCTTCTCTTCCCTAAATTCATTCTTCATTGCTTAATTAAGGGTTGCTGCTTTTTATGAGGGTACATAACCCACAAACACACATCTTCTCAGACCCGCTCCCTGATGTGAAACAGAAAGTTTATAGATACAGAAATATTGTGCAAACACATTTTAACTGGTGAAGGTTGAAGACCATTCAGTGAACTGGATGGAAGTTAAGCTGAATCACAAAGCTAGAATTCACCAGTTATTTTGCTTTGTAAAATGCAGACATTTTACAAAATTGTTCTTTTCACTAAGTTTATTGCTTTTATGTAAAAAGCTGCTGCCATTTCTCCTCACTCTGAGATGAAGAGGTAAGAAAAGGAACCTGGGCCCCGCCTAGGAGCTAACTGGCTTGCAAGAACAGGCCGTTACGTGGGTGCTGCAGCACGCCTGAGCAGGAGGACTGATGCAGCGGGCCCAGCCGTGCCGCGTCCATTGATTTAAACACCACCTCTCCTTTGAAGCCCTCCCTCTCTTCCCACACCTGGAGTAGGTGCTCTTCATACATGGTCTCATGGAACACCCTCGTTCAGCATCATTGCACATTGCCATTTCTTTCAGTTATTGACTTTTCTTAACATTGTAAACTCGTCGAAGAGACTGTCTTGCTCATCATGATCTGCCTGAACCGAACAGAATGCCCAGCACACGGTAGTTCTGCAAATACTTTTCAATAATGTGACAAATGTGAGACTTACAAGGAAAAAGTGTTTGAAGATAAATTTATTAGTGTGATTCAAAAGTTAAAAAATAAAGCTATTAAATGATGAAAATATGAGGTTTTTAACTTCCTAGGGTTAGGAAGAAATTTGGGGTGAAAGGTCTTGGATTATGTTTCTGAAGTGATATTAAGCTGTACATCCTTTTAGTTATAACAGTGGACAGCCAGTATGGAATGAGGCAAACTGGGAACTCGTGGAAGCCATAAGAATGCCTTTAGTCTTGAACTCTTATACCTAAAAATGCTCAATTGTTCATGACAATCCATGAAGGAAAGTGCTAGAGTAAAATCACTGGAGTGGACACTGTGGGTGCCGTGGTCAGATCCCCTCTACCTGGGAGAAGTACTCCACCTCCCGACCTGCTATGGGTGTTGACTGCTAACAACTCCAAATTGCCCCTTTTACAGAGAGTTGCCCTTGAAAATGTCACCTTGGTCCTGAGCAGTGACTAACTAACTGGTATGAGTGTATAAAACCTTACCTTGGGTCAACTCTCCGTAACTCACACTCCAGAGCTCCCCATGGCCAAACACCAACTAAATTCAGTTATCATCTAACCCCTTCCCCTGCCCTCTTCTGCCTTTTTCACTACCTGACAGGTTCCTCCTAAGGACATTCCCTCTGTCTATATAAATCAATGGCGCAACATGAGGGTCTACTTCTGGGCAACCACCCCTGAGATAGTCACTGAAATGAAGTTGCAGCTTCTGAGAGGAGATGACTCTAATGCCTTTCCTTCCTGCTTGTGGCGGGTTCAAGAGCAAGGAGGGATGCCCTGACACTTCCCCCTGCCCTACACGTTATCAGGCTAATTATACCTGAGATTAATGTTTATTCAACATGATAGTCAGAACGTTTCTTTCAGGAGCCTCAATGTTATTCAATTTCAACCACTTAATTGGTACCTATTTTGTGCCCACAATGTAGTAGGAAGGTATTGGGAATGAAACAATGAATACAAATAATTCCTGCCCCCAAAAAAGAAAGAAAGGAAGCAAAGAAGAAAGGGAGAGATCTCAGCGTCTGAGGAGCTCCGTAGGCAGGAGAGCAGAGCGGACAAGCGTCTTACCTCTGGCTCTCTTTTGAAGATGCTGAAGCACTAGCCCCTCTGCCAAATTTAGAACATTTCATTGACTTTCCTCCCAGATGATATACATGTGGAGTCTATAAACAAGTGAACTCAAAACTACCCACAAGGATGTCCTTATTGTGCCACACACAGGGCAGCACTGCCAGAGCGTGACTTTTCAAGTTCCTTCTGTATGACAGGAGAGAGGCGCAAATGTGTTATTTCCTGCGAATCTTCCTTAGAACAGCATGGTTTTCTTTTAAGAAAATATGCCATGGCTTCCTCACACCATGAATAAAGTTGCTCCTGCTTGCTTTTGAGATTTTTCTTCACCCTCCCAAGCCTGGAAAAAGTCAGGGAAGGCTTCCTGCTACCAAGCTACAGTTTAGATGGCAGGTGCTCCGTGTGTGCTTACACATGGGTGCATGTGTGCTTCACACCCAGTGCTGGAAGAGCTTTAAGGCAGGAAGCAAAAAATGTCCTTTTTATTTTTATTTTTTTTTCCCATGGACCATCTCTTATTTGGAGAAATGTCTGTATCAGATTCCTATTGCTGCTGTGACCAATTATTACACTAGTTGCTTAAAAATATCTTCATCTTAAACTTCTAGAGAGCAGATGGTGAAATGGTTCTCACTGGGCTAAAAAGATGCCTGGGATCCATCTGGACACTCCAGGAAATAATGCTTTGCCTTTGAAAATGAATGTCCTTTTTAAAATGTCTTTTAAAATTATTGAATACATGTCCAGTCCATTTTTCCCAAGTGGGAATTTCACCTAGGAAATAATAGATTATCTTTAACTTTTTTTTTTTTTTAAACAAAAGTTTTCCTAACCTCTCTTGGTCTCAATTTTCTCACTTAAGAAGGATTTGGCTGGAGGATTTGAAGGCCTGTTCTCTCTCACATAATCTGATTTTTTAATGCCATCTTCCTAGATGTGCTATAAACTCCATGTAAAATAATTTCTTTCAACCTACATCAGTATTAATTTTTATTGTTTAGTTAGTAAATCCAGGTAATGGTGTGTGTGAGTGTGTGTGTGTGTGTGTGTAACTTAATCTGTCTCAGGGCCTATCACTAGCAGCTTTCTGACTTAATATTTTTTGTTTGAATAACTGAAGGGAAAGAACAGACCTTGGAAAAGAAACAAAAACAAAACATTAGCTTGTGTATTAGTATAGGATAACTGCTATAACAAACCACCCTAAAATCTCAGCAGTTTAATGCAATGCGATGCGATGCAATGCAATAAAATCTATTGTTTGTTCACAGTCCAATGCTGCCAACAGGAAAGGTAGATAAGTGTGGAGGTCTAGTGTTTGCTCCATAGAGTCATTCAGGATCTCAGGGTCATTTCATTCTGAGACACATTCATCTTCAACATTTGGCCACTAAAATTGCTAGAGAAGAGGAAAAGAAAGTGGAGGATTACCCAAGGGAAATTTTCATGAGCCAGAACACTCTCCATTGGACAGAACCCAGCCCTGTGGCTCCAACATAACTGCTGGAACTGAAGGCTGTGAAATGTAGCCTTGCACCTAAACAGAAAGGGAAAACCGTGAACATTGGTGAGCAGTTGATTCCTCTGCCTTATCTGGTGTTCAGACTTGCTTGTAAGGCCCTTGCTGACCAGTGCTTTTCCTACACACTTACCCACTCCCTTTTCATGGCCCTTCATACTTTTTGTCCCGACTCACACAGCACTGCCTTTCGTCTAGCCTCATCCTTATACTCTCTTTCATTTGATACCTCGAGCTAGGGAGACATAATGTAAATGTGGATGGGGACCCCTACAACAATGGACTTTCTTGAGCAAAATAAATGGGAAGAAACGACAGCACAGCTGGAAAAGTGGCACAAATGCCCAAAAGGGAATTGGAAGAGGCACCAAGGAAGTGGGGAGAGGTTGGTTGGCATCGGTTTGAGATGAGAATGGATTATGAGAGTCAAATCTCAAGGTGAAGTCTATTCTCCATGTAGTAGAAGGTGTTTTGAATGAAATGTTGTGAACCTGTTATGAATTTTGGATTGAAGATCCTCTTCTGTATTTTTAACTGCATTGGAAAGATCACATCCACAATTAAGAACTATAACTATTTAAAACTAAGTCACTGCAGCTGTTATTTTCTAATATTCACATAAAAAGAACCCACTCATACACACATTCAGTAATTTAGGAAGATTTTTATAAAGAACATCATTTGCTTTCTGCTTTAATGGGAAATGGGAAACAAACAAGTACCCGTTTGGAAGCCCATGATGATGCATTCAGCACACCCGCCAGCAGTCAAATGGTATCATTGCAGCAGGAATTCCCCCCGTATTCCCCTCCAGGCTGCTCCTGAAAAGTTAGTTACAAATGCAATACTCCTAATTTATAGTACAGATTCCCATGGTAGGGAGTCCCTACCACAGCTCTCTTAGTCATGAAAGACACTAATTCATCTTTTTTGTCTTTTTGTCTGATTAATTACCAAGAACTGATCTTCCATCTCACTGTTCTGCTTAGTTAAATAAACACACTTTCTGAAAACAAGTTCCTGTTTAAGTTTGTAAGTGGCGTTTCTTACACCTAAAATTCTTGCCCTGGACAATTTCCTAGAGCCAACAGACACAAAAGCCTTGGCAAGAACCATTGCCATGAAGGGTTTAAGAGCAGTGATCCTTGGAAGTCCAGAGCTAGCAGCAGGATTTGCCTCCCCAAAATTACAAGGGGGGAGGTGCATCTATTCTGAAAGCCCTGTTCAGCAACTGCCTACTGACACTGTGTTTCTTTCCCCCAGGGCTTTCCTGGGAAGGACGGATCCTCTGGCCCTCCAGGACCACCTGGGCCACTTGTAAGTATTTCCTGAAACTATTGGGCTATACTCTGTTTTAAAGCCTTTCATTTCTTTTGGGAGATTTTCTTATGCCAGAATTTTCACCTCAGCAGCTGTCTTTGCTATAAGGTGAGAGCTCATTTCTTGGTACAGAGCTCTCCCTAAAATGCTCTAAAAATAACATATCCATGTAACTTGGTCATTTTATCTGAGCCACCTTCTCATAAGATCACCTGCATTGATTTCGTATTTACTAGACCCAGGTAAGGCCTGCATATGAAAGAACCACATGTGACTAATGTTGTAGTGACTCTCAAAAAAATTATCTTCCCTCCTTTTTTGGTAGTTGGGAACCAAATGAGCAATGAATTCTAAAGTCTTATTTTTTGTGGGGGTGGGAAGTATCTTTGTATGTGTTCACTCCTTGAGAGCTGGCTGTCTTCAATGAGAATGTGTGAGTACTCACCTTTGCTCCATGTTCCTGCCTCTCTCTCTCAGGGTATTCCCGGAGCCCCTGGAGTCCCGGGGATAACAGGAAGCATGGGGCCCCAAGGTGCCCTGGGACCACCTGTGAGTATGTGGCAACAGCCAGTCAGGATGGTTGCCCCGTCATCCCTCTGACTTACTTATGTGTTTAAACTGGGTCCAAAATGTTGATTCAGTGTTGGACTCTGGTAATTTATAACGGAAACTGGAGAAGCTCCTGGAATAAAAGACTAAGACCAGACTGTGTATATGTCATGGCTAAAGACAGATGCACGTGACAGGAAATAATCAGCTATGCTTCTGTTCATATATATTTCCATTGTTTGTAATTCTAAAAAGAGTCAGTGCCATCTTTACAGGGGTTGGGTACAATAACTATGTGTTAATTAGGCCTGTCTCCTGAGCAAAAAATACAAGCCTTGAGAAATTCAAAGATTAGTGAGAATGAGAGTAGATTTTTCTTTTCTAAGTTCTACAAGAAAGAAAGAATTTTCCATTAAAACACACACACACACACACACACACGTCAACAGTGGTATAAATGAAAGCACAATGAATGGAACTAATTACCTCCCATTTTTGTGCTTCTCATTTTTTTGGTTGGTGCTTAAATGTGATCAATGGGAGCAGGTTGAGGCAGGATCAGGGAGAAACAAATGAGCATGTCTCCTCATCTGCAAAATGAGGCGGTTGCATTGCATGGCCTCTAAAGCTGCATTTGATGTCTTCTGTGACTTGCAAGTAGTTCCTCCTGGGTGCAGGTATTAGTCAGCATTCTGACATCATCTGTGATACACCATGCCTGTGGTGTGAGATGTGAACATGTACATCCTACTGCAAACATGCTAAGAATTTATGGGAAAAATTCTGAAGGAGAAGGATAGGAGAAGTTAATGAATTCTATTTCATCTCAGTCTCTGTAGGGTAGAAGTCTGACGTGATCTAACTGGATTAAAATCAAAGTGTTGACATTTCCTTTGGGTAGAGTCCAGAGGAGAATTTATTTCCTTGTTTTTTCGAGCTTCTAAAGACATCCCACATTCCCTGGCTCATGGCCAACTTCCCTCTGCTGAGCCAGCAACTCTGCAACCTGCTGGCCATTCTTCCATGGCCACATCTCCCTCTGAACACAGACTAGAGAGGTTCTTCACCTGGAACGATCTATGTGGTTACATGCAGGCCACCTGGATAATCCTAGATAATCTCCCTACATAACCGCAAGACCCTTAATTAAGTTACATTTGCAAAGTCCCTTTTGCCACATAAGGTAATATATTCCCAGGTCCTGGGGTAGGGCATGGACCTTTTCAGGGGACCTTTCCCACCTACCACAGTAAATAAAACATAGTGGAACCTTTGGTTTTCATGCAGAAAGCCACCTCTCTCCCTTTAGCTATCCAGATGGCCATGTTACTCTTTATCCTTGAAAATCACTTCAATAAAATTATTTCATCCTCTTGGGCCCTTTTCTAGGCCTTGATTCATGTTACACATATGCAGGTACACAAGCACAAGCAGCGTATTAAAATTCTTCCAGATTTTAGCAAACACTTCCTAATTTGCACACCCAAATAAATATTCTCCTTATCAGTCACTTTACAAAGCCGTACATGTATTCCAAATAAATTGTCATTGTTCAAATCAAGCTGATTAGGGGTCATAGAAGAATATTTGATTGCTTTATCTTCACTTTTTTTTTTTAGTCCAAAATGATATTACCAAGTATGGTCATGCATGTGGAAACTTACACTGACACACTCATGTGTGAACGCATGAAAACACACACATGCATACATAGTCCTGTGACCACCATCCTTTAACTGCGAATTTATTTATTCATTTGATTCTAGACTATCCTCACCAGAAAAGAGATTCCAGAACATTCTCTCTGCTACCAGGCTTCTGTCTGCTTCCCAAAATGTGCTCCTGGGAACAAGAGTTCCAGAACAAGTCAGCAGGGCTCAGAGAGCAAAGGGTTCTGTTTAAAGAAGCATCCAGAGACAGTGTATGCTAAATCTGTTTCTCAGGAAGTCATGAAAGATTTTAGGACATCAAAAGCTTTGAGGCATCCTGAAGTGAAATGAGAAAAAAACTAAAATGCTGCTTTATTTGTTTAGACAATAAACGAGTGTATTTGTGCTTGAGGTGATCTTGTTCTTCGCACTCTTACTGACATCTTCTAGAACTAGTTCCCCTTAACCCCAGCTGAGTTGATCCTGGTCCAAGTAGAATGGGATGGGAATGAAAAGAAGGCACGGGGTGCCATGGAAAAGGAAAACGGGGTGTGTAAGGGTAGAGTGAGGCATGGGATGCGTTGGTGAGCAGAACCCCACCCTGCCTCCCCATGCATGGCTCTAGGAGAGACTCTAAGTACAGGCGTACTGGGACACCAACCACCTTTCCCCCAGAAACGAAATACTTGTTAAATAAATTGTCTTTCATTGTTGTAAATCAACAGAAAAGGGTCTTTTCTGGTGGCACGAGGGGCCCCTGTGCCACTGACATTTTTGTCAGAGACAGAAGCCATTTAGTATAGAGGCACTGGGGGTGGGAGGGGGGTAGATGCCAGTGACGCCGTAGGCTTTGCGTATCCTCCCAAAAGCTTATTGTTCTCTGAACTGCCCTGCGCAGACTTTTCCTTGTGCGCTGGGATGGGAGCAGCCAGGTATCTGCCAGCTGCCAGACTAGCATGGCGAGTAAAGCAGTCTCCGCGTCATTGTGGAACGGCCTTGATTGATTTCCCATGAATATCTGTCTAAGAAGGCAGGAGGGAAAGAGACCAAGAAAGGCAGACTGCCCCGCTGAAAATAGCAGCATGTTTCCTATCAGTTGGTGCCAGGAACACTTGCTTTCATGCACTCTGCCTTCGGCTGCTGACTTCTCAGGGCGAAATGTGGTGCCTGGCTGCTGCTCTGGTCATAATTCCTACCTGGGGTTAACCATAGGCTAAAATAGAGTGCCTTCCCTGTAGGGGGACAGATAGTGATGAAGCTATCTTCCAAAAACATGAAAGAAGGGGCCATGAGTTTAATTTGGAATCAGCGTAGGCAGATAGGACCAGTGCCACGTCATTTCAAGAGCACTGCGTCAGAAGCCAGGGTTCCTGGGTTTCACCGTGGCCCTTACCTGAAGTAGCGGCGTGAGCCACATCACTTAAGCAATTTATCTAGCCTCTCAGGATGTCAGTTTCCTACTTCATTCGTTTAAAATATTCACTAGGTAGCCACCGTATATACAATACACATGGCAGAGAGGGGTTCCAAGGGGGTACCAAAGATAACCAATGTATTTCTCCACATTTATGGGAGAGCTGAGAGAATGATGGTTTTTTTTTTTAATTCAAGTAGGCATAATAAAAGGCAGAAAGTGAGAAATGCCTTAAGGGAAATAGAAGGAACTCACAGTGTAAGTTCTATTGAGAAAGAGAGAGAGAGACAGAGAAGGCAATACCCCCTGAGCTGAGCAGGTGGGGGAAGTGGCTCCTGAAGGGGACAGCAGTTCACTGGGATCTGGGAAGAGGGCAGCTTTCCACCCGTAAAGACCGGAAGATGGCATGCTTAGATAGGGATTATAGTAAAACAGAGCAAACGCAGGGCACCCCTATTTTCTGTAGATTTTAATATTTTTCAGCTCTTTCTCTAGCTTCTTTGCCCCTGCCCAGCTCTATTTCTCAACAGGATTATCACAAGAGGTTCTAATTGACCCCTTTGCCTCTGCTCTAGCCCTGCTCTGAACTGTTCCCCAGCTGCCAGAAGATCTTTCTAGTACCACTCGGATGTGTCATTCCCTGGCCTGAATCTTCTCCCTGGATCTCTGTCACCAGATGAGTCCCAGATATTCAGCCAGGCGCACGTGACTCTTCTCAGTGGGCCCTTAATTTCTTCTCCAACTTGCTTAGAGTTTGCTTGGAGTTGAGTCACCTGAAATTATTTAAAGTCCCCCAAATATGTGCTATGCTTTTCACCCTTTTTGCCTTTGGGGATGTTCTACCATTTGTCTGGATTACCTTCTCCTTTCTCCACCGAGTGAGCTCCTGGCTATTCTGTCTTTAAAACTGCACTTCTTGTGTGGGACCAGCCTCACCTCCTCAGGCTCAGATAGTTCATTTCAACTGTTACTGTCCAGCTCTCGACTAAGATTATAGTTCCGTAAGGGCGGAGATCTAGTATACTCATGTTTTATTCCTAGATCCCAGCTCAGGATTATCCAAGACAGTTAATAAGTATTTGTTAAAAGAAATAATGAAAGTATATTTGCATTTTAGTTAGGTTCATGTTCAGAGGAGTATTAGAAAATTCTTTTATTGTTTATTAAAGTATCATCGATATACAATCTCATGATAGTGTCACACAAACAACACTGTGGTTTCAACATTCACCCATATTATCAAGTCCTCACCCCCTCTATTTCGGTCACTGTCCATCAGCATAGTAAGATGCTATAGAGTCACTACTTGTCTTCTCTGTGCTGAACTGCCTTCCCCATGACCTACTTATATTGTGTGTGCTAATCATAATGCCCCTTAATCCCCTTCTCCCTCCCTCCCCACCCTTTGGTAACCCCTAGTCCCTTCTTGGAGTCTGTGAGTCTGCTGCTGTTCTGTTCCTTCAGTTTTACTTTGTTGTTACATTCCCACAAGTGAGTGAAGTCATTTGGCATTTGTCTTTCTCCACCTGGCTTATTTCACAGAGCATAATACCCTCTAGATTAGAAAATTCTTCTCATAGATCGGCGGTCACACCATAGAAGACCTTTGGAGCCAAGCTAGGATGTTCTGATTTTGCTTACTGGGCATCTCTAGTATGTGGGACTCGGACCACCAGATCATTCCTCTTCCCGTCAGCACTAAAATTCTATGAATCTATGAATATAGCTACTGTATTTCCTTTTCTTTACGTTTCAGATGTTCCCGAAATTAAAGGAAAATGTGCATGTGTGTTTTCCCTTAAAGCATACTTTGGTGGTGTTATGGGCCTTCACTTGCTCAGGAATTTTTATTTTGTTTGTTTTATCTTGCAAAAATCAGAGGAAAGATGTCAGAGAAGTTGGAATAAAAAATAACCTCTTGCCAGACAGATCTTTCAATGAGTGGATCTTTCATGGAGACTGCCTCGTTGTGTTCTGTAGCTACGTAAGACCAAGGATCATGAGTTCATGAGTCTGAGTTTGAGGAATTTCAGGCCCAATTTAACACATCCAGCCCTGTACACCACAAAGTGTCAGCCGATGATACTATCCTCTTACCTTATCACTCATGTTTGCAATGTAATTTCATTTTCTAAACTTCAAATATTCCAAGCAAGCCATTTTAATACATGATACTAGTGATGACAATGGCCAATAGTATACTGGTTCAGAAGTAAAAATATTCCAGATAAAATGGGTTTTAGGGAATGACTCCAGTTAAAACCTAGTTCTGAATTACTAGAGTTGGGTTTGGGGGATGTGTGTTTGCTTTTTTAAATTATTTCACTGAAACAGAAGATATTGGCTAGAAAATCTGTTGAGCACTGTTTCTTTCCTGGGAAGTGCATGGATTCCAGAACCAGCTGCCTGGGTTCTGGTCCTAGCTTTTCTGTTTTCTTATTGTGTGACCTTGGGCAACTTATTTAACTTCTCAATGCATCACTTTCCTTACATGTAAAAAGGGAATAATATCTCACAGAATTGTTATAAAAGATAAATAAGTCTCCCATAGGAATTTTATAAAGATTAAATGAGTGAATTTTTTAGGGCTATTATAGGG